CCCCCCATCATCTCTTTTTTTAGGAGTACTTGTACCCCTGTATATTACCGCTTCTCAGGTAATATACAGTAATATACAATATACTATTTTCATTATAAGATAATGAAAATAGGAAGAATAAGTTAATAAAAAGTGACATAAGTTCCACTTGTAAACATTCACTTTAAGATTTGAGACCGAACACACTGTGGTAGTCTGTGGCTGGTGTGTGACAGATTTGCTAAGGCTCAGCGTCTAAGGGCTCGTTCACACAGGTCCATACATGTGCCCAGGGAGACATAGGTGTCCTGTGCACCCTCACACAGGTCCATACATGTGCCCAGGGAGACATAGGTGTCCTGTGCACCCCCCTGGTAAAATCAATGACCTGCTGCAACTCCACGGATCTTCATTTACATCTGTGTTAATAACCGTACAGGGAAGGAAGCACAGCTCTAGATGCGGTCTGCTTTCAGAGCCGGGCATCTGGCTACGTGCCTGCTCAGGCACATAAACACGGCCCCCGGTAGAGACACATGTACCCGTGTGAATAAGCCTTAAGCATCTCTCACAGAGAGACCGCAAACCACTTCTCATCCATGGCTGTCAAGCATTGTTCTCCACCCCACACACACGCCTGTTAGGCCCCAGGCCACCTTTGACGCCACACCATCTAATCACATCACACAGGGGGCCACCAGACTCAAACTAGTGCTGCAATATCATTAGGGTCTAATCATTTGGATCCGCCTTTTGTGTGTGTTCAAACTCACTTCTAGACTCCATGTCTATGCCAAAGTCCAGGTTCTTAAACAAAAGCTTCTGTCCTGAATAGCCAAATTCGACAACTGAAAATAAAGAAAACAAACAAACCGGGTTAATCATGACTGCACCCTGTGGAGGCCAGACAGATAGGTGCGAGCAGATCCAAGCACACTCACCATATAGACCCAGGATAGGAGGGCTTAGTAAAGGAGGATTTGGGAAGGTGAATTTCACCGTATACTCCCTCGGTCTCTTCAGCAGCTCGGCTGGATCATGGGATTCGTCGTCAGTTTTTTTCTTCTGACCCTTCTGCTGCTTCCGTGTCAGAGCCTCCTTCGTCTGCTTCTCCTGCAGGACCAAGCAGAAAAAGTGTGAAAAGTTGACAAGCAGCCTGTCCGGTCACTGAAGCCAGGACAGAGAAATTACCTCTATGTTCGTGAAAACAGAAGACTTGACACCTCTACAGAGCTGGGCCAGCAAATCATGTCTCATGTACTATGCCCCCACTAACCAAACGTAAGGCCCATTCATACCAGATGTGTTGGGGCTACACTGACATCAGCTTACACCCGTTTTTTTGGTGGTGGCAACGAAGTGGCAGGGGATTGCTGGAGAGGCAAGTATCAATGGATGGCGACTTTATTACACAGACCCTGTCAATTTGCCTTGAATATAATTCTCCCTTAATAAGTAAAGTGACAGTGTCTCTAAATTTCATCCCAAAAGCCAAACTGTTTCTCTCAATTACACACACATCAAACTAAAGCATGCGATAACCATGCGATGCCTCACACTTGCTTTGGACAAATGCATCTTAAATCGGTCATATAAACTTTCTGCAAGAACACATAAGGATGTACGCAGCCTGTCTAATACATGTCTGTCTTCTGCAGCGGTTCTCAACCTGTGGGTTGCAACTCATGTTGAGGGGGGTCGCAGCATCCACTTCTGCTGCGCTAGGTGAGAGGCTCCTCAGCCTCCTCCTAGCGCAGCACTGTCAGTCAGCGGGAGGACAGCAGCGGCTGTGACTATAAAAGTGCCGCTATACACACTCTGGCCGCTGCAGCGACATCTAGTGGCCGAGGAGTGTGTAACGCAGGGCTTTTCTATTCACAGCCGCTGCTGTCCTCCTGACTCCCACACAATGTGAGCTCTGCAGGAGGCAGGCGTCTGAGCAGTGCTGGGGCTGAGAAGGCTGCATGGAGACGGAGCAGGCAAGCAGGTTGCAGGGGAGGGCTTGTATTCTTGTGAGTGTGCTTCTATTTTAGTCCCAAGTCCAGCACCTTACTAATTCTGGTGTCCAGCGCTCCGTTGGGGGTCACCACAACTTGGCAAATGTTACCAAGGGGTCCCTGCCCTAGAAAGGTTGAGAACCACTGGCTCCAGCAAGGATACCAATACTTAAAGAGTACCAGTCTCTTGAGATATTGCAGCTACTCACAGCTTGCTTGGAAGATTTCCCTCCTGCCTTCAGCTCCTTCAGTTTCTTTTCCTGCTTCTCATACTGCTTTAGCATCTCCTTCTGTTTCTGCACGTACATCTTCTTGAATGCATCTAAAAAGGACAAAAGCGACATATTAAAGCGGTGCGCTGCCAAGGTTTTTCTTCTGGGTAGAGTGAGATACCGAGCTAGGGTGTCTCCACTTCTCCACAATACCACAAGAATCAGGTCTCTACTGATGGCTACAAATCTTTCACATTCTTCTCCTCGAGTCCATTGGCCATATATTCCATTAACAGCACACTAGGGGACAATAAACACTAGTGTCATAGTGACACGCACTAGGAGGCTTTAAAGAGGAACACCAGAGAAAAAAATAAAGTTTTCTTTGGAAAGACCACAAGTGATACAATTACCTCTAATGAAGAGTGTGCTAGGTCAGGACGGCTGCTATTTACCGGAGAAATGATAGTTTCGATCATGACGTGTTACTGCCAGCAAACGTCTTCTGGCGATGTTGCAAGCAGTTCTGTCTCTCATACAGTGAAGGGATCTCGTCATGTATATACTTCTCTTCTCAGCCCTCATCCAGTCACAAAACGCCTTGTATTCTGTTCACAGAACACAAGGCACTCTGTGAATGGACACAGGGGGAGGGGAAGGGTGGATAAAAATGAGAGGATCGCCCCCCATTCATTCCCAGAATGCCTTGTATTGTGAAAAGTACACAAGGGATTTTGTGAATGGACAAGAGAGGATGAAGGGGAGAATAAATGGCACAACACCTTTACTGTATAAGAGCTGAACTGTCAGTTACAGGGCCGGAATCACTGTCTGTACTATCAGGTATGAATGAAATGGCTATTTGTACAATAAACTGCATCCATCCTGACCTAGCATACTCTATGAGAGGTAACTGATATCACATATGGTCTTTCCAAAAAGGATGAGGAGTGTAAAGACAGAAGAAAGCAGCAGAGGCAGAATTGGAGCTTTAGGGCTTGTTCACACCAAATGCAGACCAGATCTGCATGAGTTTCTGCACACGCAGTGCAGTGCGTTATACCGCGTTTTTTGCAGCGTTTATGCGCTCTGTGCCATTTTTTCCCCCGTTAAAAATGGGTTTTCAGTGCGTTCCAGAGCAGGTAAAATAGGGCTTGCCGCAGTTTTTTTTTTACATGCTTTGGAACTGAACACTGTGGTGTGAACTAGAGCCCAAAATACCATTGGAATACATTGGATGCAGTTGTGATCCGGTTTATAACAGATCTGCTCTGCTCCTGGAACGCGCTTGGTGTGAACAAGCCCTTAGCATATTTAGATGCGAAGTGGATGGAAATAAACACTCACTGTAGTTCCCCCGGTAATAATACAGTTTCTGCATATCGAGGTGCATTATGTCCGTACACACGTCATCCAGGAAGCCCTGGTCGTGGGAGACGACGAGAAGCGTTTTCTTCCAGCTCTGCAGGTAACTGGAGAGATAGTACAATATGAAGCACACGGCAGCAATCATGTCTCATTTATGTATGGAGAGCTGTATGGAAAACCATCGTCACTTATCCCCATACAGTGACTGCACAGGGTAAAGACATACTTGTTAAGCCAGATGACAGCATTGAGGTCCAAGTGATTGGTTGGTTCATCCAACATTAGGAGGGTTGGTTCCATGAAGAGAGCCCTGGAACATGGAATATACAGAAAAGTGAAGCGGCAGACATATCAAATAATGCACAGATCATAGTAAACAGTGTTCAGTACAGAACAAACATACAGCACTCAGTACAAGGGGAAGTAAAATGTGAAATATATGAAGAGCAGAACATTCCCCAGTGTGGAAAGCAGACTGTGCAGCACAGCATACAGAGTGGGCCAGGGAGGAATCTACAATGTACAGCATTCTGCAGCGTGTCACAAACTGCACAGCAATGAGTATAGAGTAGGGCAATGTGTAAGTCTAAATGATTCACTGCCCCGCTATGTGCTCACTGGTGTACAGTTTATATTCCACGCTCACGGATATAAATACAGTACAGCAGAACATTAAAAGTATGGCAGAGTGGAATATACCACAGTGGGGGGATACAGAACGTATTCCTCAAGGTACATAATTTTCAGCTTCCAAGCACTGGATCAACATTTAAATGATATAGGTGCCTTACAATAAAAGTCAAGTCACCACTTCATGTATTTAAACAAAAATCATTTAAAGAAGAACCCTGGGTAAAGAAAAAGCAAGTACCCTTGCAGTGGGGCGACCTCTACCCTGTAAGAGTTAAGCGCTCATTTTGCCTAAGGGGCTAAAATACAGCCGTATTACTCACCTGATCCTCCGCAGGAATCAGCACTCGCCTCTCTCCCCCTCCAGCATTGGAATGTCCCTCAGGGTTCTCACATCTAATGCAGGTCAATGGACCTGCATAAGACATGAGGATGACGGTGGTCCTTAGACCGCTGGAGTTGATGGGACTGAGGATCAGGTAAGCGATAAAGCTTTCTTTGAGCCCCCTAGACAAAATGAGTAATTAACCCTTGCCGTTAGGGCTTGCCCCAATGCAAGGGTAAGTTGTTTGTGTCTGCCCAAAGCTATAAAGTGTAATAGTGTAATGTATGTATTATTCAACAAGATGGCTCCAGATACCTGGCCAGTGACACTCTCATCCTCCAGCCTCCACTGAACCTCCGCGTCTCTCGATCCTGCATCTCTGGAGTGAAGCCCAGACCAGCCAGGATCCTGCGGGCTTTTGCTTCTGCCGAGGCGGCTCCGGTGGCTCGTAACTCTTCATAGACCTAGAACCAGACAAAAACACTCAGATATCGGTCTGCCAGACATTTACTAACCTCGCCCCTTCACGAGTCCTCACCTTCTCCAGCCTCTCTGCTGCACTGTCATCTCCCTTCTCAAGGCGAGCCTGCAGCTTCTTCTCCTGCTCCAACAACTTCAGCCGTTTTGTGTCAGCCTTGAGGACAGCTTGTACGGCCGGCGTTTGATCAGCAGTAACCTCTGTCGGGTAGAGAGGAGATGGGTTCATCAGAAATGAATGTGTACAATTTCAACTATCCCATTAGGAGTGTTGAAGATATTCCTTAGAGATCGGTCTCGGGGTAGTGCACCAAATAGCATCTCTCCTGAGGGGTGGCAGAGTGTTACAGGCAGAGAAGCTATTTGGAGAGTAATGGAGAATGAGCAAATATCACTTCCAGAGGAACCTAAAGACAAATTTTGTCACAGAATTGTTGCAACACAATTAACAAACTACTCTGACAATTAAAGGAGAACTATGAGGTGAGTGATTTTCACTCAGCCTCATAGTTCTAGCCGACAGTCGCTCGCTCACTTCTCGATCTATCCCTGCAGAGAGCCGTGACTGTCACTCACGGCTCCCTGCAGGGATTCCCCCCTCCCCTGTCCGATCCTCCAGCGCTGACTGGCAGAACGGACGGGGGATGGGATGGAGCGTGTACAGCTGGCTCTGCCTCTAGATAGGCAGAGCCAGCTGTCCCATCACGCAGCTGGGTGGGTCTCAACAGTAATGTCGGGATCCGTCCCGGTTGCGGCGCCTCAGTATACCGTGAGCTATAGCTCGCGGTATACTGAGCTTAGGGTGACAGGAGAACGCTAGTTTGTGTTCTTCCGTGACCCCGAGGAGAATTATGGGGAAAAGCCCTGACCCCATAGTTCTCCATTAAGAGGTCTTATTTGCTTCCATATTCTTCATCACCAATATGGGGGTATTTCTTTATGAATCGGTTGCAATAATGGTGTCACACAGCTAATGTATTGAAAATAAGGAGCAGTTATAAGGAGTACGTGTCAGTAGTAACAAGGATGAAAAAGTTTATTTTTTTTGTCTGCGCACCGCTTCCGACAACAAACACCAGCAGAAACGTGTTGCATTTGTCTTATTGAATCACCCCAAATATGTGCAATATGTTAAAAAATTACCTACCTTGCTCACAGAGAAGAACATCGATGTTGGGGGGAATGTTTAGGGCACGGTTGGCAATGTGTTTTAGAAGAGTTGTTTTGCCTTTGCTAAAAAGAGAAAATAAAATCAGCAAAATTATTTTAAAAAAAAACAATAAGGGAATAAAAAAAGAAACAATAAAAAAGCACCTTCCACACAGTGGGCATATACCGCTCAAACATCAGCAAGTATCCCAATGAATCATAAAAAGTCACAGAACATAATGGATTACTTACCCATTAGGGCCAACCAAACCGTAGCGCCGACCAGCAACTACAAACAAGTCAGCATTCACAAAAAGCTCCTTTCCATGGGCAGAAATACTGAACTTCTCCAGCTAGAGGGGGGAGAAACGCACATTAGACAAATGTTATAGCAATAACTTTGTCCTGCATTCTACAAATGTCTGAAAAAATGTATATGTCAGAGCTCTGGTAGGCTGTATTTAAAGGAGTTAAAGTGACATTAAAAAGGCAAAAACATTTTCCCCTCCCCCCATGTTAATGTCAGCACTTACCTTAAAAGATGCCTCTTATTCTGGTCTTCCTCTTCTTTCCTGATGTTTTCATCTGTCCCTCCAGCGGTGCGGCGGCTCCCCGATCCAGCGCTGACTCCTCTGTCCTTGTAGTCACTTCCGATCTCGCAGTGTCTGCATGCGGGTGCACGCATCCATAGACTTACCTTGTGTCTCTGCTAGTCTCCCGGGTGAAAATCCGAACTGTGCATGTGTCCGCCCCAAAATGCTTTGCGGCCGCCCGAGCGGCGAAGACGGGGTAAGTTTAAACTGCTGTTAAAGCGTTTGTTTTTTTCAAAACTTTTTGCATATATCTACTGCTTGATAGCAGTAGATATATGCAAAAAAAAACGGAGGGTTTAGAAACCCTTTAATTGATAATAGAAACCTCTCCACAGTCACCTTAACCACAATAAACTGAACCATCCCAGCTGTAGGATTTTATCTCCTCCGAAAGCAGATCACTCCCAGGTTGATTACATCCCAGGCGGTTAAACTCTTGTGCCTGGCTGCCTGCACACTAACATCACATTAACCTGAATGGGATATTGCTACTGCAGTACAAGTATGTCTAGTTTAGGTTTATGAGACCTTAGTGCACAAGCACCCCGACACTAGATTTGTGATGCATACAATGTGGGATGGCACTACACGGAGGAAGCACCAGGGTGGAGGGGGAATGATGGCTTACGTTAGGAGCCACTGGAGTTGCGGAGAGAGACTCAAATCATCTCTGAATTGGTGCTGACACTGTCCTTCCTTCTGGAGGGGAGCTACTTTTGTTCCCCATGGTCCCTGTGTGTGTTGTAAAGTAGCCACAACTCCAAGCTCGCTCCTGTGACTACAATCTCAACACAAATGAGTAAACTAAACATGAGATTGTAGTCCATCCCAGGAGCGAGCTTGGAGCATTGGCTACTTTACATCACACACAGGGACCATGGGGAACAGAAGTAGCCCCCCCTCCAGAAGGAAGGACAGTGTCAGCACCAATTCAGAGATGATTTAAAGATCTACAGCCCAGTGATACACAAATAAGATACAAATTTTGTTAATAGTTCAGGTACTTGAATGTATTTTGAATATAGCTGGAGATCTACATTTGCTCAATGTTTTTAATTAAAATGGGCCAAGGCATGAAGTTTAAGGGTGTTAAAGATCACTAAGGCTGGGTTCAAACCTAGGCGTATTGAATATGCGCGTTTGTCGCGGTGCAAAAACCCAATGGAAATGCCCGACCAAAACGCCCCAAAGAAGTACATGTACTTCTTTGGGCGTAGGGCGGTTTCCCGCACGTTCGCACTCGCGGAAAAACGCCCAGATGGGAGCCATGCACATTGAAAATAATGGCATCTCACTGTTTGAGCGTTTTTCCGCGAGTACGAACGCGCGGAAAAACGCCCAGGTGGGAACCGGGCCTAAGAAAATAGTTAAGCGTGTGAAGGCACAAACACTGGGCTTTTATAACAGACAAGCAAAACATGAGACCCAACTCGGCATCAAACTATACGCTCCAGCAAGCCCAGTCAGCCACAATTGTCCCACTTACCTTGATGTCGGAGGCATTTTCCAGCATGGCTTGGCGGGAAGACAATTCTGCTTGTGAGACGGAGAAGTCGTTCTCTGCCGCTGTTGCCTTTTTCATTGATGCCACCTGTTTCTCATAATCCAGCTAAAAGACACATGACAGGGCGAGGGAAAAAAATGTGAGAAATAGGGTAGCCAAGAGGGTGAGAAGTTTCAGTAAAGGCTTAGTTCAATTTTTGTCATTTAAATTTCAACTATGTGCCGGTTTAATAAAGTTATATCTCTATCCCGGGATTGTCAAGGTATCCATATGTTGCTGCATTTATAAAAACATTTTTTTTTTAAAAGGAGAATTACGAGGAGAGGATTTTCACTCAGCCTCATAATCTGAGCCGACCTGTGACAGGTCAGCTCAGTAGATCGGGAAGTGAGCGAACACATACCGTCGCTCGCTGACTTCTTGATCTATCCGTGCAGAGAGCCGTGACTGTCACTCTGTGCAGGGATTCCTCCCCTGTTGATTGGCGGAACGCACGTGGGAGGGGGCGGGCACAGCTGGCTCTGCCTCTAGATAGGCAGAGCCAGCTGTCAATCCCGCAGCTGGGTGGATCGACAGTAATGTCGGGATCCGTCCCGGCTGCGGCGTCTCGGTATACTGAGCTTTGGGTCACGGCAGACCGCTAGTTTGTGTCCTCCCATGACCCTTAGGAGAACTATGGGGAAAAGCCCTGACCCCATGGTTCTCCTTTAAATCGTAGCTACCCAGGTAGATGGTGCCCAGGTCAAGAACAGGGACCCTTTAGTCAATCCTTTACAGCAGTAGGAGGTTAGGTTCACAGTCCTGCCAGATAAATTACCAGTGGCTCATTCAATTAAATGAAAGATATAAGAACAATTAAAAAACATCTCTCTCACCTGTTTCTTTATCCTCTTCTTCTCCTTCTTGCTTAAATTGGCTAAAGGATCTTCAGCTGGTGTCTTCCCTTCACCTTCCTCATCGCCAGACTGATGGAGAAACAAGAGCTAGATGAGACATCCTTACATCTAAAATGACTGAAATCAAACTTCAGAAAACACAATGACCATTTCTGTAACAGTAACTTACACATGTGAAAGATATCAAATGTAATTACTGCATATGGCTCCTGCTTGAGCTCCACCTGTCATAGAGGAGCTGGTCTGTATCAGGGGGAAGGAAATGGAAAAAAAGTCCTGTTCATACAAACAGGTAGAAGCTTTATTTTCTGTCCTTCATAGGTCGGGTATGATGCTATGGTGGGGACAGGTATGCCCAGAGAACAATCTCTGCTAAATCTTATCCATCTGAAAAGAAACTTTCCCTTTTCTGAGAAGTTCAGAATAAAAGCAGAGCTTCAGCTTGTAAAGATACACAAATGAACACAGCTCTGAGTTCATTAATACATAGCTGAATGTGATTTTGTTTTTTGCAAGCAGTGCCTTTTCCTGCATTTGGCTTAGTATAGGCCTCCCGCAGTCCCTGTACACAGGAGCTCATGCAGGAGATAAAGAAGCCGCACTAGGAGACATTCAGTTGCGCTGCAGTGCTCATGTACTAAGAATCGGCTGACAGGAGGATAGAGAAGAGCGACAGAAGAGTTCATCAGTCTGTTTCTTCCCCTTTCACCATCCAGTCACAGGCTGGGGAAGGATAAGACCTGAAAATGTTGTTTAAATTCAGCAGAGAAATGTCAGGCCTTCTGCCTTGACAAGCAGGATTGCTCTATGTGGCAGAGTTGTGTAAATCTCAGGATTGGATGGAAAGAAATGCAAACCCTGTGGCTGGTAAAATAGCTCCTTCATATGCATTTCGTCTGTGTATTTAGCAGGTTGCCCAGAGTTCAGCTTAAAAGAACATGTGCACTTATTCTTTCTGTCCCTCTCCCCTGACCTGGTCTGGGAGACAGAGGCACATGAGCCCCAGAACAGTCTTTGGGGCTCGGCTGTGCAGGCACGACCAGCAGTGATAGGACTAGCTGTAAACCAACTCCGGAAGTCCCAGGTGCTGGATCTCTGTAAGTATGCATCCTCAGCGGGGGGAGGGCAAAAAGAATATATCTCTACCTATCCCCATAACAAATAAAAACAAACTGGGTTTGTGGTTTAGGAGATCAGCTGATTTAATGCATCAGAAATTAAGACACGATTATAATAGGATATATTTAAAGACCTGACAGCTCTACTATCGGAAACTATATTACATTTTTCTTGAATCACCCCCCCAGGCTTCTCCAGCTGCTGCTACACCTTTAAGAGAATATACGCGTATGGAGTTTGCCAATGCAGATACGGTTTTTAAAAGGCGCAGTCTCTAGGGCTGTAATCCTCGTCTCTGCTCCATGGCTGTAATCATCATCCTTGATCACCATCACTACCTAGTAAATTATGACCCGAAACAAGTACACCGTCATTAAAGTCTGTCAATTCTTAACTCCTGTCCAGCATATTTGTTTCAGGACAGTAAGGCAGGGATGAGGGTGACAGCCCAGGGGCTAGATCCTTTAAAATAATAGATCAGCTATAGCAGTACCCAAACCTCAATCCTTACAGGTTGACTCTAGGCCCCTGTAACTGTGCCCTACTTTCGGATCTCCACCCACCTTGGAATTACTACTTTCTCCATTGACTTATGCTGCAGACCCCAGAATGACATATTTTCACCATCCTCGCATCCACTGGTACCTAGGGCCTACTCACATATTCACTTATTTTCCCTGCAGCATGTTATTTTTTATTTTTCGGACTTACCTCTCGGTGTGAGCCGGTGCTACATACATCGTCGTCGTCATCATCATCATCCAGAGCACCAAATCTGTTCTGATTCTGTGTTATAAAAGAGAAAATATATAGGTGGAGAGTTCCATCACCGAAACATCTCTATTTCTCCAATAATGTCAAGAGATATCGGATCCCCATTGATTCATGGTAATTGTACTTTAACCGAGTGGCATAACAGCTGCCCAAAGAGGAAAAAAGGCAAAGCTCTGATTGGAGAAGAGGCCGTCACAGCCAGGTTGAACATTTCTACCTCAATGTCCCCAGGGGTGTAGTCAGTATTAGCTTGCTCTAGAAAGTAACATCTAATGTATGCAATTCAACATATGGAAGTCTCTGTGAAGAGTTTTCTTGCATGTACCAAAACAGAATTGGATTACCTGTGCCGGTTTTGTTTTTTTGTTGTTTTTTTTAGGCTTTTTCTCTTCCTCTACAACCACTTCAGGAGCCTTAGGAGGAGCTTTCTGTAAATGAAAGAAGTTATTGGTTGGCCACAATGTGAAAGACTGGCACAACTGAAGCAAAGACAGACCCATAAATCCCTTTTGTGCCACCCTGTAGAAGAGAGACTCGTAGCTCCCTTCTGCCTGTGTCACCCTGCAGGAGGACAGACTCATAGCTCCCTTCCGTCTGTGTCACCAAGCAGGAGGAGGGACAGACTCCTAGCTCCCTTCTGTCTGTGTCACCCTGCAGGAGGAGGGACAGACTCATAGCTCCCTTCTGTCTGTGTCACCAAGCAGGAGGAGGGACAGACTCCTAGCCCTTCTGTGTCACCCTGCAGGAGGAGGGACAGACTCCTAGCTCCCTTCCGTCTGTGTCGCCAAGCAGGAGGGACGAACTCCTAGCTCCCTTCTGTCTGTGTCACCCTGCAGGAGGGACAGACCCCTAGCTCCCTTCTGTGTCACCCTGCAGGAGGAGGACAGACACATTGCTCCCTTCTGGCTGAGTCATCCTGCAGGAGGAGAACAGACTGATAGCTTTTTTTCCTGTCTGTCACCCTGCAGGGGAAGGGACAGACCCCTAGATCCCTGAGGAAGACGGGCACAGGACAAAAAGACAGTCACTGTCATATTTTGATGGACAGAAATCATCACCACTTTAATTTTAAGAAATAATTCTTTGTTTCTGATCCTCTGACTGCACTGGAACGACCCTGCAGGGATACGGACACTTACTTTGCTTTTTGTTTTTTCTTTCGGTGCCTCTTCTTCGCTTTCTTCTAAATCTTTACTAGGGGGCTTTAAAAAAAAAACCATAAATAAAAACACAAACTGAGAAAGAAAAAGAAAATGAAACCATTAAAAACTAGAATGAAAAAAGTAAATATACCTTCGGTTTGGCTGTTGCATTTTGCTTTCCTTTCTTATTCTGTTTTTTCTCCTCTTCCTAAGAAACATAAAGGAGCAGCGATGAGTATGAGCCATGGCTAGTGCACCATTTGGCAGCACCAATTTGAAGTAGCGACAGCATGGACCTTCTTAGTGCGTATGCTGTGAGGAAAATTTTTAATTTACATATCCCCGTGCTTGCCTAAGGAGGGTAGAGTACCAGCTTCACTTAAGGTATACCGAAAGCCAACAGGTTTATTTCCGCCATTGATAATTAGATTAGGAAATGGTTAAAACCCCTGCAACTCCATTCAGCCATCAGGAGCAAAAGAGACATACCAGCTACTTCCAGGTATGGAGGGCATAGGACTCTCTCCACTTCTTCCCACGACCTGGCACTGGGTGCTTGGAGCAGCCAGACTGACTTGGAGCTTAGAGGAACAACACTATTCGCTCCCATTAAATGAACGAAAGAGCAAGGGAGGAAAGAGATGGTGATTATTGTGACATGGGTGGTGGGGAAGAAAGGAAGCATGAACCTGCTGCTTTGTCCTGCATGTTGCAGCAATTCAAACTATATTAACTCTGTTATAACAGGGATGACCTCATGTGTCAGCTGCTGCTCTTTCACTGTCCAGTCAGCAGGCTAGGGGTGGAGATGAGTCTCTATCTCCCTGCAGGGGAAGGGACAGACCCCTAGATCCCTGAGGAAGACGGGCACAGGACAAAAAGACAGTCACTTTCATATTTTGATGGACAGAAATCACCACTTTAATTTTAAGAAATAATTCTTTGTTTCTGATCCTCTGACTGCACTGGAACGACCCTGCAGGGATACGGACACTTACTTTGCTTTTTGTTTTTTCTTTCGGTGCCTCTTCTTCGCTTTCTTCTAAATCTTTACTAGGGGGCTTTAAAAAAAAAACCATAAATAAAAACACAAACTGAGAAAGAAAAAGAAACCATTAAAAACTAGAATGAAAAAAGTAAATATACCTTCGGTTTGGCTGTTGCATTTTGCTTTCCTTTCTTATTCTGTTTTTTCTCCTCTTCCTAAGAAACATAAAGGAGCAGCGATGAGTATGAGCCATGGCTAGTGCACCATTTGGCAGCACCAATTTGAAGTAGCGACAGCATGGACCTTCTTAGTGCGTATGCTGTGAGGAAAATTTTTAATTTACATATCCCCGTGCTTGCCTAAGGAGGGTAGAGTACCAGCTTCACTTAAGGTATACCGAAAGCCAACAGGTTTATTTCCGCCATTGATAATTAGATTAGGAAATGGTTAAAACCCCTGCAACTCCATTCAGCCATCAGGAGCAAAAGAGACATACCAGCTACTTCCAGGTATGGAGGGCATAGGACTCTCTCCACTTCTTCCCACGACCTGGCACTGGGTGCTTGGAGCAGCCAGACTGACTTGGAGCTTAGAGGAACAACACTATTCGCTCCCATTAAATGAACGAAAGAGCAAGGGAGGAAAGAGATGGTGATTATTGTGACATGGGTGGTGGGGAAGAAAGGAAGCATGAACCTGCTGCTTTGTCCTGCATGTTGCAGCAATTCAAACTATATTAACTCTGTTATAACAGGGATGACCTCATGTGTCAGCTGCTGCTCTTTCACTGTCCAGTCAGCAGGCTAGGGGTGGAGATGAGTCTCTATCTCCCTGCAGGGGAAGGGACAGACCCCTAGCTCCCTGAGGAAGACGGGCACAGGACAAAAAAAAAAAAAAAAAAAAAAAAGACAGTCACTGTCATATTTTGATGGACAGAAATTATCACTACTTTAATTTTAAGAAATAATTCCTAGTTTCTGATCCTCTCTGACTGCACTGGAACTACCCTGCAGGGATAGGGAACACTTACTTTACTTTTTGGTTTTTCTTTCAATGCCTCCTCTTCGCTTTCTTCCAAATCTTCACTAGGGGCCTTTAAAAAAAATTAAAACACAAACTGTGAGACAGGAAAAGAAAAATAAACCATTAAAAACTAAGGAAAAAAGTAAATATACCTTCGGTTTGGCTTTTTCAGTTTGCTTTCCTTTCTTATTCTGTTTTTTCTCTTCTTCCTAAGAAACATAAAGGAGCAGCAATGAGTATGAGCCATGGCTAGTGTATTCCTTAATTGTAAATGGTGTCATCCACCTCGTTATGCTGCGTGGCACACAGCTGTACTGGGTAGATGGAATATGTATGGCGGCTGTTTACCTGCCAAAGCAGTTATGTTTCTATCTGTGTATTTAGCTGCATGCCCAAAGTTCAGCTTTAAGAAAATGACTATTTGCAGCCTTTTAGAGCCAGTTACATAAACCCCGGCTTCAGCAGCCATTCTGGTTTTCCAGAATATCCGCTTTTCAGCATGGCACACCAGCAATGTAACGCTATATAGCTGTAGAAGCGTTGCAGCAATCTACAAAGAAACATCTGTAGCTAGCTAAAGATCAAAGACATAAGATTTGTAGCTGCTACAATGTTGCTGATGTGACATGTCTCTTTGTGTATTGTCAGGATAGAGGACATCTATGATGGAAGCGCCCAGTGTACATCACCTTCACTTTTTTGCCTTTATCCTTTTTAGACGTCCGCTCTTCCTCCTCATCTTCATTCTCCTCCTCGCTGTCATTATCCCCGAGGGCTGCAAAAATGTTTTTACTCTGCAAGAGAATGACAAGATATAAACTTTATTATCTCCTGCTGAACCCAGGCTATATTACCGCCATACCCTACCTCTGTACCACCTCGTATGCCCCACCACCGTCAAATTTTGGCCTTCATTCCCACTCGCCTTTACTTTTAAACGGTCTACAAATTCACTGTTCTTGTTCCTCCTCCGCCTCCTGGTTTACAAAGGGACTTTTTCACTACGTTTTCATCTCCCCATGCACCCTTTGAGTTCTCTGCACGTTGTCAGCAGGAGGGTGTGGGCACCCAGCCACCACCACAGGTCTACTCTAAAGGTGCCCATACACTGTACGATCGTACGAGAATCGCAAAGTGTATGGAAGGCGTGCGACCGTTACTGTACGGTCGCACGTCTTCCGTCAAACAAGCAGGCTGGAAAACCCGCCGGGAATTGTACGATTCTCGGCGGGTTAGTGGCCTGCTTGTTCGACAACTGCCGAACGGGCCGGTGTGCGCATGCGCACACTGCCCGTTTGCTGTCATCGGAAGCCCGCCCCTCATTCATCGCAAGTACGATCTGCCTGTCTAAGATGGGCAGATCGTACGTTTTTTTTAAGTACTTTTCAACCCTCGCAAGACAAAAGTCTTGCGAGGGTTGTAGAGGTGTATGGCCACCTTAATGTTGATCAACCATCAAGATCTGTCACATAATGAACCACATTCTTATTACCATCTCAATCCTATATCCATTGTTTTGTTTCCATGTACATCCACAAATGCCACTGTATCAATATTACTGATACGAATGCTGTATTGCTGTTTCTCCTGCAGTAATTTCATAAAACTTCAATAAAAGAATTTCACAAGATAACAAACATACCCGACTTTTACCTCCTCTGGGAGCAGGAGCATGGTCTGCAAAAGAGTCATTATTAAAGGGATGTATAGTGGTAATATACATTGTTTATTATGTTTAGGGCTACACACAAATTATATATATATATATATACATACACACTTATTTAGGGCTGTTATTAGAACAGGAACAGATGGGAAATCCTCCGATGGGGACACTGGTGACCCTTCTGACCACCTCTTACGAGCTGTTGTAGCTATTGGACAAGTGAAGGGGAAAACACCCCCCATTGTGCAAAAAAAAAAAAAAAAACCTTCTCTATCCAAAACTATATAAAAAAAAGTTTTGCCTTCATTTCTACTCTAAAGTATAGCTAAAGTCAAAACAATGTTTTTGGATATAGGGATATAGTAGCATAGTAGCCAATGGTTAAAACCTGTCAGGTTTACCATCCCATTTAAGAGATTTCCCTGCATGTCTTGTCCTGTATACACATCAGGAAGTGAGAACATTTAAAAATTGAGATAAATCCCTTCTCAGACATTTGTTATTGAAACAAGTGTCCACAGATCCTGTTCTGGCGACAACTCAAAGTTTTGGATATTTCCTCAATTTCTCTCCAGGTCCCCATGACAAATAGGAGTGAATCTCTCCAGTAGATTTACGTACAGTAATAAAAACCTGTCAGGGGTTCCAATCACTCACCATTCTCTACAGCATCAAAATAAAAAAGTGTATTGCCTTTAGATACTTTCCTGCTTTGCTGAAAAAAACCCAGCGAACATTCTTCACATAAAAAACTTGTGTAATGGATGAACATTTATAAAACGAAGAAGACCACGGTCTACCTGACTCCTCCTCCTCATCACTGGGCTGTACTGACAGCTTCTTCAACCTCTCTGAGATCTCTTTGTCTTCTTCATCATCATCTCCCCCTGCTTTCGGTTTCCTCCGATCCTTTTTCTTCTTTTCCTTCTCTTTTTTCTTTTGCTGCAACAAGAAAAAGTTTATTGAAGCACATATACAATTACTACGTACTTCAGAATCCTGACGACCTAATAATCATGCAGTTCTAAAGCTCTCACAAGACAAGAAACACAAAGACTTTCAAACACAGTATATCATCTGTTGTCTTGACAGGTGAGTAATGTAAGCTCTGATCCTCAACATGGCGCCTTGGCAAAGCTCTTCTGAGCACCCCACCCCTACCCAGACCTAAGCAAGCCATCAGAGCCAAATCAGGTACTGGCACAGAAGCCATACTCCATGACACCATTTCTCATTTGGCCTAAGGAGACTTCCTGTAGAGGCCGTGAGCCAATTACAGTGAGATTTAGGATTTTGGGAAATCATGTCTAATAACTGAATTTGTTTATCAATGGTTGAAATGAAGTGAAATGTATATGTTTTGAAATAGAAAACCCGCAGATGGCTGCAGGAGGAAATG